AGAAAATGTGTGTGTGTGTGTGTGTGTGTGTGTGTGTGTGTTGGATCTCATACAATATGTATGTCAACGCATTCTTGTTTTCAAAGGTGCAAAAAGTAAGAGGATGCCACTTCGTCTCATTTAATTTTGTCACAAATTTAAACTGAGAGAAAAGGAAGAGTAAATTTGTAGCACTGGTTAGCCAACACACACACACACACACACAGAGGAAGAGAGTACAGGGGTAGAAACAGTGACTGAAAGAGATGCAAATTTAAAGGTTCATTATAATGTTGCTTTATCAGAGTTGTCTGCTCAGCACCACAACATGAAAGAAAACACCAGGACTGTAACACTCTGCTTTTGCTCGCACAACTTTACAATTCTGTTTCCCTCTGCGTCTTTCTGCTTGTTTGTCTGACTTTAAATGTTTGACAGCATCGTAACATGACTGAAGCAGCCAGGAACACCAAGTAGTACCTTTTGTACCTGTACCCAAAGTGATTTAGTCAAAGGAGTTTGAAAGTTTTACCAAAAAAAATCTCTCACACTCTTCACAGCCCATTCAATCACAGACGGTTAAGCTGATGACATTATGCTAATGAATGATTTCCTCACTTAAAGTCTTCATCATGCAGCGTAAATACACACTTAGAGTTGCGAAAGGTGTCTTCATTTTAACCAATATTCCGCCCTCAGAAACAGAAAACACATTCATTTGTGCTGTATTACTTTCCTGGCATGCAAAATCCTTTGCATATTAGTGCTATTTACATCCTTAGCTTTGGTAAATATCACACTAAGTTCCATAATTATGGCGCTTAAAAATTGTATGCACCTAGCAATAAATTACAGCAAACTTAGTAAATATCCTCTCAATCACTTACTGCCTCCTGACTGGCAATCTGAAAACTTACCTGGCAATAAAACCTTTTCTGATTCCAATATCTGGGAAACTTAAAGCTTTTTTTGCGAAACTCCACCCATGAGCAGTGGGTTGCGGTAATGGGCTGTAAAAGGCATCAATGTGCAAATGAAAGAGGAGATGAAAAGAAGACCACAGGCTGATGTAAACAACGCAGGTTGCAAACAATTAATGGGGCTGAGGAGCACTGAATGTAATCAATACCGCTGTTTACAAGATGACTCTGCAGTGTACCTTTAAATGATTGCATAAATAAATACGAAACAAAGCGTTTGACACTTCACCTTCAGGTCTTTGGAGAAGTTTGGGTGATGAGCTCCAGCATTTCTCTTCTTGGATGTTTTTCGATACTGAATGACTTTTTGCAGTTCGTTCTTCAGGACTGAGGAGACACACACACATATCTAGGTTGTCAACCATGATATTTGAGCACTGAAGCAAATGGTTGCTTTAAATCTGATGCTGTCTCCTGTGTGATCATGTGAAGTGTTTTATTTGTGCTTGTGGCAACTGTTTGGACGTCATCATATAGACCATATATTGGATTGAGACCCTATACTCCCTAGACAATGAGTGTTTCAACAAAGTATACTGGAATTACAATTACAGGAAGACTGAGTAAATGTTGCTATCACACCGTCTCACAAATAACTTCGTTGGCGCAAAAAGGAGGGTCAATATTACAGCGATCTCAGCAAATTTGGACACAGTAGTAAAATGCGATCTACTCACCATCTACCTCTGCGGTCAGGCCTTTGATGGAAGCTGTCCAAGAAAAGAGGGATAAAAGGAGGGAAAGACAGAAAATACACGTTTCACTTAACAAGCCTCAACTGAAAAGTACCACACTGATTTTTTTCCCCCCCTTTGGTTTTGATCAAATCTTGACGAGCACATACCTCCAGGGACAGTTTCAAATTCTGCCAACTCTTGGGTAAAAGAGGCCAAGCACGGTTCATGCAACATGATCTGCTCCACAAGGGCATGAAGCAAGGTGAACTTCGTGTCTCTGCCGCGGAGCCGGGAGAGCTAGGGAAAGGAGAAAACACAGTGAAAAATGGGCCCGGCCTGAACAAACCCGTGGTTCCCCTGCCACATAGCACAAAGAGACAAGCATAAAGGAAACTACACACATATGTGCTGTCTATCTGTGCCTGTCTGTGCAGCTTCCTTTGCTGAAGGCCAGACAAACAATAGCAAGACGATGTACAGATTCTGTTCACACTCAGGATATATACAGTGGCATGCAAAAGTTTGGGCACCCCTGGTCAAAATTCCTGTCAATGTGAACAGTTAAGCAAGTGGAGGATGAAATGATCGCCAAAAGGCATAAAATTACAGACAACACATTCCCTTTACATTTTAAACTAAATAATTTTTTATTTTCATCTTTTACATTTTTTAAAACAACAAAAAAAAGGGAAAGGGCCACAGCAAATGTTTGGCCACCCCGCATAGTTAATACCTAGTTGCACCCCCTTTGGCAAGCATCACAGCTTGTAAATGCTTTTTGTAGCCAGCCAAGAGTCTTTCGGTTCTTGTTTGAGGGAGTTCCGCTATTGTTCCTTACAAAAGTCTTCCAGTTCTGTGAGATTCTTGGGCCGTCTTGCACGCATTGCTCTTTTGAAGTCTATCCACAGATTTTCAATGATGTTCAGGTGAGGAGACTGTGAGGGCCATGGCAAAACCTTCAGCCTGCGCCTCTTGAGGTTGTCCATCGTGGATTTTGAGGTGTTTTTCAGATCATTATCCATTTGTAGAAGCCATCCTCTGCTCAACTTCAGCTTTTTTTTTTTTTTTTTTACCTATGGTGATATGTTTGTTTCTAGAATTTGTTGGAATTTAATTGAATCCATTCTCCCCTCTACCCGTGAAATGTTCCCCGTGCCACCGGCTGCAATACAACCCCAAAGCATGATCGATCCACTCCCATGCTTAACAGTTGGACAGATGTTCTTTTCATGAAATTTTGTGCCCTTTGTTCTCCAAACATACCTTTGCTCATTCCGGCTAAAGAGTTCTATTTTAACCTCATCAGACCACAGGACTTGTTTCCAAAATGAATCAGGCTTTTCTAAATGTTCTTTTGCAGGAGAGATTTTCCCCTGATGACTCTTCCATGAAGGCCATATTTGTGCAGGTGTCGCTGAACAGTTGAACCACAACTCCAGTGTCTGCCAAATCTTCCTGGAGGTCTCTTGCTGTCAAACGGGGGTTCTGTCTTGCTTTTTCGAGCAATCCTACGAGCAGTTCTCTCCGCTATTTTTCTTGGTCTTCCAGAGCTTGTCTTGACCTCTTCTGTTCCTGTTAACTGCCCTTTCTTAATTACATTCCTAACTGAGGAAATTGGTACCTGAAAATGCTTTGCTATCTTTTTATAGCCTTTTCGTGAGTTCAAGGCAACTGCTTAGAGGAACCCATGGCTGCTGATTGTTGGGACAAGGTTTAGAGGAGTCTGGGTATTCCTAAAGCTTTGAAACTTGCATCGCCTGGTTTTTCCTAACAATGTTAGTGAACAAGCCATGACCAGGCTAATTCAGGTCTGGCACATTGGTCAAAGCTATCTGAGAGCTCAAGTCTCCTGGGGTTCCTATTCTTTTGCAGGGTGGTGCTTTCATTTTTTCACTCAAAAATTGTACAAAACAAAAATAATACACTGATTTTGCCTAAAATATTGAAAAGAGTGTTTCATGTTTATGCCTTTTGGAGATAAATTTATCTTCTACTTACTCAATTGTTCACATTAACAGAAATTTTGACCAGGCATGCCCAAACTTTTGCATGCCACTGTATATCTATTTTTTTCACGCCTATATTCAGTCATGTGAAAATATGTGTGGAAAATGTCGACACATTTGGACACACAAATATTTTATCCTTTTTGAAATAGTGCCTACAAGATAATAAACTTGAAGAACACCACAAAAAACATTGCTTTTTTCAATAAAAATTATCAACAGATGTAATATTCTTCTATAGACAAAGTAAGTACACCCTTGGCATCAGAAGCTAGTATTGCCTCCTTAAGCTGAAATAACTTCGTGTTGACATTTTGAATAATTGTCCACCATTTCTGAATCTGCTTTTGACCAGTCTTCAATGCAAAATTCTTTCAGTTGCAAGATGTGTGGAAGCTTTTTTTCTCTCATGTACTGCCTGTTTCAAAGCCCCATACAGCATATTAATGGGATTCAAATCTGGGCTTTGTTTTTTTTTTTTTCCTTGACAAGGCCACTCCACAACTCTCCAGTTCTTATTTTTGAGTCACTCCTTGGTGGTTTCGCTTCTGTGCTTAGGATCATTCTCCTTATGACAGGTCTTCCAGTTCAGCTTCCACTTTCAGACAGATGGCCACACATTATCTTCAATCTCTCTTTGATAATGTGCAGAATTCAGCTGAATCAGTGATTGCCAGCTGCCCAGGCCCCGAGGCGGCGAGGCAACACCGAATTTTAACGCTTCCACCATGATGCTTCACAGGTGGTCCGAGGTTTTCTCCTGAGAGGCCGTCTTTGGTCTGCCTCAGACAGGTTACCGCAGCCAGACAGCTCTATCTTTGATTCGTCTGTTCAGAGCACATTTTTCCAAAAGGCCTGCTCTTTTGCCTGTATGTTCGCTGGCACACTGCTGTTTTGCTCTAATGTTCTTTTTGGACAGCCAAGGTTCATTCCTGGCATGCCTTCCATGCCGGTCAGATTTGGGAAATCTCATTCTGATTGTAGAAAACAGCACTTTGACATTAACAGCTGCAGAGTTACCTGCAGATGATGGTAGTTTGGGGTTCTAGGAGACTTCTCTTTGTGCATCAAACAGTCTCCTGGTGGGCCGTATTTGTTGTTTGCAGCCAGTCCTGCACAAACTGGCAGTCGTTTAAACTTTACACGTCTTGTAGATGATTTTCCTGACAGGTCAGTGATTGATTTCACATAATCTGGAGTTTTTCTAAACCTCTTGCCAGGTTCACAGGCATCCACAATCTTTTTTTTTTTTTTTCTGAAGGCCTTAGAGAGCACTTTAGATCTTGGCATGATGACAGCACACATGTCAATAACAAAGACAAAACCATACCATAGATATCAGAGGTTTAAATGAGACAGCTTCAACCTGTCACTCCCAAAGGAGGCTCTAATCATTGACTGCATCTCTGAGTACAGAGATCAAAGTTCAGACAATTCAATCAGATCAAATTACTTTAAATTAGACTCAAATACTATTCTTTGTGGTCTGAGAATATTGACAATATCATTAAGAACATTGGGAAAAGGTATAGCTGTTGCCAGAAGATTTTGCTTTGTCACTCCTTTAGTGAAGAAAAAGGTAATAATGAATCGGTCTAACTGTATCTCATTTGAAGGATTGCTCAGTGATATGGCCTGTTGTGAAGGAGAAAGACTATTCCAGAATCTGGCTGCCAGGTTAGTTTAAGGACAACATACCAGCTAAAGTTGCACAGCAGACTGTTTTGCTTCCTCGAAGATGTTAAACTTTGCTATTGTTTATTTTTGTTTATGAAGAAATGATATAGCCATGGACGCCTCACTCCTTTTCTAACCAGCTGAGTCTATCTGTGTCATTTCAGACAGTTATTTGGGACCCACAACTAAGTTCTGTAAATTATTTTTGGCAGGATTTTCAGAATTTCACATGTTTGCAGACCTGGATAGGCATTCTAAGGGTTTAATTTCTCCTGAAATATAATTCCCACTGGCGTGAAATTTAGTGATCACACAGACAAAGTCGTTTTTTCAGTTTTTTCCATTCTCATGGGCCAGTAGTTGAAAATTTGGCCTCTGCTGGAGCTATTCAGTCATTTGGATCTGCTGGAAACAGTTTTGTCTGTGTCCTCACCAAGTTTCACAGATATGGGGNCCTGCCTTCGCCCTAAGTCGGCTGGGATAGGCTCCAGCCCCCCCGCGACCCTAATGAGGATTAAGCGGTGTATAGAAAATGGATGGATGGATGGACTACTGGCCAAAGAAAAAGGAAAGTGTGCATAATAACAATCTTTGACAGTGACACAGAGACAGGACCTCACACACTTAACGGTAGCGCGCCTCAAAGTTTGTGAGATTAGGCCATGAAACAGAACAGATGCAGAGAGAGGTAAGCCTGCAGGTCTCTTTCTGGAAGGAGGCAGCAGCAACTCAGTTGGAAATATGAGCTACAGACACTGAAACAGCAGATTTGGAGGCGGCCAAAAACCACACTTATTATAAACATGATAGAATCAATGATCTGTGCATGATTAGGGCTAAAACTTGAAATACACATTCTTGGGACATGTGAAAAAAACAAAAACACACATTTCAGCTTTTGACCACTAGTGGCTCATCACCTTGGAGTTTGTCAGGATATTTAGTAAGCATGTTTGCAGCCCGGGGCCCGGTCGGACTCAGCCCGAAAGGACAACGTGGGCCCGCCCTCCTGTGGACTCACCACCTGCAGAGGGAGTCATAGGGGTCAGGTGCAGAGAGGACTGGGTTGCCTCGACGGCCTGGTCCGCATACACAGCCTCTGGTTGTTGGGACGTGGAACGTCACCTCGCTGGGAGGGAAGGAGCCTGAGCTTGTGCGGGAGGTTGAGCGATATCGGCTAGATATAGTTGGCCTCACCTCCACGCACAGCCTGGCCTCTGGAACCCAACTCCTGGAGAAAGGCTGGATGCTCCATTTCTCTGGTGTTGCTCGTGGGGAGAGACGGCGGGCTGGAGTAGGCCTGCTCATTGCCCCCCAGCTTAGCAGCCACGTGTTGGAGTTCACCCCAGTGAACGAGAGGGTCGCGTCCCTACGCCTTCGGGTTGGGGACAGGTCTCTCACTGTTGTCTCGGTCTACAGGCCCAACAGCAGTGCAGAGTGCCAGGCCTTCTTGGAGTCCCTGGGAGGGGTATTAGCTAGTGCCCCGACTGGGGCTTCCTTTGTTCTACTGGGGGACTTCAACGTCCATGTGGGCAACGACAGTGAGACTTGGAGAGGGGTGATCGGGAGGAACGGCCTCCCCGATCTGAACCCGAGTGGTGTTCTGTTGTTGGA